GGTTTGAGCCGTGAAGGAAGGATGGGGTCGGGAGATGCTGGGAGGGAAGCGGGGGAGGCGGAGGGAGAAGCGGGGGCAGCAGGCGCCGCCACTCGCTCCTCCTGTTGGCTGTTGCCCTGGGTCTCTCGCGGATGCTTTGGGGTCCGGGCTGTTGCAGGTGGAGAATGGGAAAAGCCCCCCCCCTACATTTCCCATTGAGAAAAAGGGAGCATTGAAGATGATGGGGGAGAGCCCAGAAGGTGGTGGCGGAGTAAATACTGCTCCCCCCCACCCCAATCATTTTTCTGTCAATAAAATATTCTGAGCTGAACCTTTAGTAGGAAAGCCCGCCCTTAACAGAGGGAGACTCTTGGTCTGTTGGGCTCTGGTTTGATTGTATAATAATGATGATATAATGCTAATGACGACGATGACACTGCCTTTTATTTTTACCCCAGTGCTGATAAAGCGTAGCACCAGCTAGGGATAAAGCCCTTGAAAATTTGATGTATGAAGAGAAAATACTGTTGCTTTTGGAGTTGTGGTTTTTGGTTTTGAAGGATATGCTTTTTAGAATTAAAATTTGACAGCATGAAGCCTGACTCTTTTTTTTATTTATCCATTTATTTTTTAGTCCTTCATAGCCCATGCTCATAAAATGGGGACTGGCTACTGCCTTGATTAATGAAAAGCTAAACACCTAAGTGTAATTCTGTGTGTTAAGTCACCCTTTCCTTTGAATTTCTCAACAGTTTTTAAAATGAAGAAGTTTAATTTCCGAAAAGTTTTGGATGGCTTAACTGCCTCCTCCCCTGGCAGTGGTAGCAGCAGTGGCAGTAACAGTGGTAGTGGTTCCGTGCATCCAGGAGGGACTGCAGGGGTTCTCAGAGAAGAAATTCAGGAAACCCTGACTTCAGAGTATTTCCAGATTTGCAAGGTAAGTTTAGAATTGACTTAAAGACTATTGTTTCTTTATTTTACTGTTATGGGGGAAAGAAGTATTAAAAAACACACGCACACATGCGACGGGAATTTGTTGAAGTGCCAGCATCAAAGAGTCTGCTGCAGAGAATTCTGTGGATAGGTCAGTTTGAATTAACAAAAATGTTCCAGACATCAACTTAAATGGCCATGGTAGTTTAAGAGGGAAATAGGCAAGCATAAAAATAGAATTTGCAAGATGATGTTAAGGCCCAATAGTTGACAAAAATTTTAATGTAATATTTATGTAAAGTAGTAAATTGAAGGAGAAAATTGTCATTGTGGTTAATTCCGTGATGTCATTCAGAGAAACTAATTTTATTTTTATTTCACTGTTCAGTAAATGATTAAAGCTCTTAAAATGTTGCTAGAATTAACTAGATAATAGCTAGATGAATATATCCATTTTAATAGATCTAATGGAATTTTTAAGAATTCATTGTTTAAATTTTGAATAAAAACACCCCCAGAGTCTTAAACTCTAAACAAACAAACAAATACCATGCGCTTAATACTTGTAAGAACTTGTAATACTTGAAAGAAAAAAATAGCCTGTGTTCTGGTTTAGTAAGGAAACATTTTAGATAATTGTACTTTAATGTTGAACTTCTGTTTAATAAGCAAAAGAGTTTTCGATGGCAAGAGATGAGAACAAATGAATATGATTTTATAAATGTGTTTGAATACATAAGAAAAACAGTAAACTTTTGAAATCACAGAAATTATTAAATTTTTTACTTCAACAATTTTTTGAAATTATTAAAATTATTTTTGTAGTAAACAGTGTATAATGAGATACATTTCAATAATTACCGTAGTCTCTATTCCCAGTAGTTTTATTATAAAAACATTAAATCTATAGTTATTAAACTATTGTAAATTAATTTACATAAAAGCAAGTTTATATAGAATTAGATCAACAGTTTAACCTACCCTATGAGGTTTATATACAATGCAGTTTTGTATACAAAGTTTACACAATTCTGTCTTCAACTTGAAACAATAGATATCTCATCAGATTATGGAAGGGGCTAAATAGTGGTCATAAGATAAATAAGTAAACAGAATCCTGGAGGCCAAATTTGAACTTCTAGGCAAGAGAATTATGCCCTGATTCTCTAATCTTTGATGTATTACTAGTTCCACTTCAAGATTCTGAAAAAAATTTCAAATTCTCTCAGTCGTGAATGTGGTAGTGATGGAGGAGAGTTTTAGTAAAGGTAAAATTGGTATAGAGAAGGTAGGCTTCTGAAACTGAATGGCATTAGGCTGTTGAGGTTATAAAGCTGGTAGAGAATGTTTTAAATTAAAAAAATTGGGAAATGAATTAATACAAGAGAGTAAAATGGGATTATAGTCACCTTCCTATTTCTTTAGTTAAGAGATAGTAATGGAAAATGGCAGGTTAAATATGTAATACTTCAAAAACATGGCATGGTAGGAAGAGCACTGGCCTTGGAATTGGAAAATTGTATTTTAATTAAAGCTCTGCCACTTGTCAGCCATATAATCTTGGGCAAGACATTTATCTTCCTTGAGCCTTGTTTTTTTTCATCTGTAGTATACTAGTAAGTATTTTCACTCTTCTTTTTTTTCATTAAATTTATTGGAGTGACATTGGTTAATAAGATTATGTAAGTTTCAAGTGTACAGTTCTATAATATACCATCTGTGTTTTGCATTATGTGCTCACCACCCATAGTTTAGTCTCCTTCCATCACCATATATTTGACCCCCTTTTCTTATGTAAGACGTTTATCAGGAAGATCAATTAAGACAATTAGGTGAAGCAATTTGTAAATTGGAAAAGATGACAAAATGTATATATTACTGGTAAAGTTTTAAAATCACCTTGTTTTTTTGTGGAATGACTATCACCAGTGGGTTATAATAATATCAGGTAATAATTTTCAAAGAAATTATAAGGATAGATAGCTATATAAGCTGAACACTGAAATAGTATTGGAATCTTACTAAATGGGTAAAGTACTATGGCGTCTTTGGATAGGAATTTAGTTAATTTCGAAAAGCGGTTATGACTGTAATTTAGGTTACTTGAACTATAATAAAATATATAAAAATAGATTAAGGAAATTCCAAAATTACAGCTGTTACTAAATTGGGGACTTCATTTAGACTCACTGATTAAATGTGCAAAGAACATTCTATTCTGAGTACTAAGCAGTTGGCACCTTCTGGATACTTATACCTTTTCAACATGATCAAAATTAAAGTATACATCTAGAACCTGCTCTTTGGAAAACCATCCTTCTTTCTATTATCTGATTGGTCATATAATCCTATCTATTCTGTTTCCTCAGTATTTTTGAAATATAATTTCTTTTGTCTTCTTCAGTACTTATTTATTCCATCATATTTTCTTGCTTAGTCTCTTGAAATCACTTCCTAACTGATCTTCTCACCTCTTGTTTTACCCTATTCCAATTCATTTTGTTATAATAATGGCTATTTCTGAATTATAATGTTAATTATATCATTTCCTTGCTAAAAATTCTACATTGGTTTCCCTAGAGCAGTGATGCTCCATAAGCAAGTCTTATGTGAAACTCCATTAAATAACATGCATTAAATAAGTATTATGGTAGTTCATTGGCATACATCTTAAAGTAAGCTGTACAGTCAATCTACATATATATGCTTTTTATTGTATTACAATTATTGATTTTTATTGTATAATAGCTTCCATAGGCAGGTAGTATGACATTTGGTAGCCTTAAAAAGTAAAAGTGTAAAGCTGCAAGCTTTATAATCTGTACACATCTATAAGAAGTTAAAAAATACAGAAATAGTAGAAGAATTTTGATTCGAGATCAGGAAAAAATAAATTTTATATTACATGAAAACAGGGAAACCATTCAGTGAAAGAGTGACACCACTTTATGTCACTCTTTCACTGAATGATTTCCCTGTTTTTATGTAACATGGAACATGGTATGTAATTTCAAAAAGATATGGCAAAGGAGATTTTAGAAAGATTCAATTAAATTCACTTCAGCTTTTATCGAGGAAGTTATTAGAAATATTCCCTTAAATGATTTTTAAGGGAATCAGAAGTATTAGATCGACAGTGACAAACATGGAATGTTCTAGACCGAATTAACGAAATAGACAAAAATAAATATATCACCAGAACCAGATGGCATTGTCCCTAAAGTTTTGAATACACTCAAATTAGCCAATTCAGTATTCATTAACACTTTTAAACTATTTTTATAAATTATCACGGTGTCAGAGCCAACATGTAGATAACTAGCATATCTTCTGTATGGAAATAGATTTGTAATTATGATCTTCATACAAGACATAATATCAGATATTGCCAGATAAATATGTATAAAATAAGAAACACAGGTGTGGACTGTGGAGAGTTGGGCTTTCCAGAACTATGGAAAGATGAAAAAAGATTAGTACCTAGGTATCTCTGACTATTATCTCATCTTCAGGTTTTTCATGGTCTTCACTTTCTTCTAATTTTACGTCATTTTACTTGGGAGGTTCTGTAAATGAGATTGGCACAAGACCATTGTCACAGTTCCACAGTTCTACATTTTCATTCATTAAAAGAACTATACAAGATTCCCTGAGATGGGTGGACTTGTCTCATTCTATAATTTACAAAACTAATAGAATAAAAGGTAGTATAATTGACATTGTGGGATACGTTGCTGTGGATAAAGCATCTCACAAGGACTTCATGCTCCTGTCACCAAAATGGACAGTAGAGGATGGGCATCTTTAAGAATAGTAATGGATGCAAACCAGAAGAATTAAGTTACCATGTTAGAACTCAGACGTTAATTAGTTTAAGAACCAAAAAGAATTAAAATTAAAAAAAAAATTTTAAGAACCAGAAACCAAAGCCAGATTATTCAGTACTTTAGGCTCTCCTAGGACCATAAGGGTGCAGGGGTAAGTTTGAGGAAGAGATTGTGGACTTGTAGGAATTATGTTTATAATTTTTTAAAATTACCGTAGAGAACAATCACATTTTCTCACAAAAGGTCCTTTGGTGGTAGCATATTGTCAGCAAATTGGGTTGTTGGTCTCATTCAATATGGAAGTTCTTATGTTCTTAAAAACAAGCAGTGCTGTCATACTTTGCGTATATTTCAGTATAGAACTGATTTGAAATCATCCATAATTTGCAAATTTATCTGTAAGATTATTACTAGTGATTAACCCTAATTCCTACTTCTTGAAGTTTAGTATGTTTCTCTAAAGTCCCTTCTGCCTTTACTTGAAGATATGTGTGTAATAAAACCATAGAGCTAAGTTCCATAGTTTACTTTTAATGACAAGATAATTTATTGGTTTCCCACATTAGAGTTCTATAAATCATTTACATATTACCTTAATAACAATAACTTTGACTATATTCATTAAAAGTTTCAAATAGGAGCCCAATTTTAAGCTTTTGAATTGTTTTTGTCCCTCATAAGATGAAATTGGGTTTTTGTTTTTACTTAATTGTCAAAATAATGATGTTTATAAAAGATTTTATTTATAGTGACAGTTATTTTTTTTTTATATAGTTCAATCTTTGATCCCTTCCTTTTTATCTCCTAAGCAATGAAATGCCTTTAAAATTCAGTTTTGATTAAATATTCATTTCTATTTTCTTTTTTTGGTGTTTTGATCTTTTATATTTTAACTTTTTGTTCAAACAGAACTTGTTTTGGTGTACAGTGTGTTTCTAAAATGATTTTTCCTTTCAAATAGCCAATCCATTTTCTCATACAATTTATTATTTTTCTACAGATTGTGATGCTCCTTTGTTATATATTAACTTTTGGTATGTACTAGTATTTGTATCTGAGATAACAGTGTCCTTCCATCTCTGCCTGTTCTTATGTCAATATCATACTGACTTAATTTTCCAGCTAAAAAGACCGGTCAAAATAATGTGTAGACTGGGTTTTAGAATATTTGAAAAGA